AGCTTCAAAAGTTTTGCAGCTCCCTCTGCCGCTGTCTTCTTTTGGACGGATGTTTTTTTTTTTTGGCTCCTCTTGGTTCTTTATCATGGGGCAAATTGATTTTTTGTTTGAACCAGGCCAAAAATAACGATAAATTGAGCAGATGTCACCGGGCGAGAAGAGAGGCCGAAACTACCGAGTTGAGTTGAGTTGAGTTGAGTTATAGTTGGGCTTGATGTGTGACTTTCAGTTACCTGCTTCGGAAGTTGGCCAGGTCTTTCGGTTTGGCCGGCCTGGCATATCGTCGCTTAATTTGTGGAAAATTGAGATTTATGGACAGCAATTCGATTCGTCTACTTCTTAAAGTTGTTGGCTAACAAATTAAAGAAATCTAGGGCTGAGCGGGTTGAGCGGATTGAGCAGAGCCCAGCTAATTATGATTAACGACCGTCTAATGACTGTTTTCGCCCTTCGCCGGCGTATCAATGTCACACATCAGCAGATTTCGCAGCTCGGCAGAGTTGCAAATTTATTGAAATTTTCTATAAAGCAGAAAGCAATCAATATTCGATACTTTTCCTGTGCACACATTTAAATCCTAACATATTGCTGCTTAAAAAAGGAGGACAAACATAACGACAATTTCACGCTACAAATGTTTCGATTAAAAATTTCCTTTTTTTGTGAGCCGAGGTCGTTATGGGGTTGCCAATAAAGCAACCACACCCCCATCCTCGTCAATCCACTCCGCCCCGGTCATATGTGCAAAGTGTAAGTAACGGGGAAAACAAAATACGGCGGATAGCGAAGCGGAAAGAGCAGGGAACAAGAATCCCCGGCAGCCACTCGCCGGACTCCATTTGATATTTGCTGAAGCACGACAATGAATAATAACTACACGGAATGCATATGCTAGCAAAAAAGGACGAACTCATGGAAATCCTAGAAGGGTTGAGCGGAATTTGCTTGGCGATTTAAAGAATTTCTCCTTTTTTATTATTCGATATTTGATTGAAGAGAGATGCCATTGAATATTAAGTAAATATTATTACAAGAAATCGTATAAAGAAGTATAGCTACCGGTTTCGAACTCAAACCATTCCCAGCCGCACAGCAATTACTAAAAGCTACTTGCACAAAATTGCAATAAAACTTTGGCAAATATTTCATATCAGAGACAAAGCCCCCGAACCTTTCGGTGCCTTGGCTGTATTTATTTGCCATTTACCAGAGACTTGTTTCATATTTATCAACGTCTGTGGCAAATAATTTTATTAACTTTTGCGCAAAACTTCAGCGATGCAGGGGATGGGCCAGACAGACTGTGAACTGTTCGCGAAAAGTTGCAGTAGGTGCAGTTTCGTTGGCCCTCCACAGACTGAGGATCTGAGGGGTCTAGAAAGGACGGGGCCGGACGCTGAAGCAGGGACAACTTTGCAATACTGGCACAACACTATCTGGAGCGCATATTTTATTATTATCCTTTCGCACAAATAAATATACTTTTGCGCAAATTACAAAAGGGCGCAACTAACTGGTGACTTTAAGTTGGAAAGGCAACTATATCTATGACCGTTACCCCTCTGTCCGCTCCCCCTCCCGCCAGCCCCACTTACTGGGCTGTGCGACAAAAAGTTTCGTCCCGATCTAATCAAAAATTCACTTAAAAAGTTTGCACTGCCAGTACGAGGCTGAATGACTTGAAGTGCAACCTTCGTGTTGGTGTTGCTGTTGGTGGGGCATTGTTGCAGCTCCTTTGTTGCATGTTGCAGGACTTCCACGGCCGGCACTTAATGAAATCTTTCTTGGGCCTCGTCCTTTCGGCCAAAAAGGGAGGATTCTAGTAAGTAAAGACAGCAGACTGGGACACCTTGTAAGGTATTCCCTTCGCCGGGAAATATAACTTGACTGGCTAAGAAGACTTTGCGATGGCTTTGAACTTTTTAATAAACAGGAAAAACATTTCAGGGTTCTCAGAACCATTTCATTATATTCAAAACTATTAAAAACTAGCTTAATTAAAAAGAAAGAGTACCTTAAAGTCGGAATTTGTTAAGAACTTTTTAATCCTTTCGCATCTGACACATTCCATTAAAGTGCACTTCCACTGCCCAATAGTGAAGCACTCAAACCAGCTTAAGTCAAAGCCTCAACCACAACAACGACTCCACTTTGATTCCTTCAATGCAAATTGCTGCACAATCGACTGCAATCGACAAGAGCTTGGAAATCATTTAAAATCCCTTAAACTTCGCTGCCACAGTGAGTGACACAAATGAAGTGTCAATTTTAATATCCCGAATGCAAAAATGAACCAGCAAGTTGAGCAGCCGGAGGAGGAGTCTGCCAATCTCCTGGGCACAACAATGGCCCATCCGCTTTCCATTCTCAATGCTCAACGCCTTACCCCGCTTTTCCGGCACAAATTGCATGAAAAATTTCGCGCACACTTAAAAAATTTTCAAGTGCAGTGCCAAAGTCAACGACTAAAGGTTGGGGGTGCTGTCTGGCTGGTTTTTGCTTTATTTTTGTCCCTTTTCTGCTTTTAAATTTGCACAAAATTGCAAATAACTTGCAATCAAGGTACAAGGAGTGCCGGCCGAGTGCAAGGGGATGGCAAAGGGAACTAACTTTGGAGTCACAACAAAATGGCGCTGCCTGAGTTGAGTTTCATTTCGCCGGGATCGTCGACGAATCAATTTGAGTTAACTCGAGTCTATTGTCTCAACGCTGTTTTGGTTCGCTTTAAGCTCTCCACAGGCCCCACACTCCGAGTCCTGAGCTTTTGTCGTCAGCTAAGGAATTTTTATGAGCTGCCTTGCCGTCGTCCTTCTGTCTTTCGGCTCTCAGTCGCGCCAACTTCAGTCCCGACTCCCGCTTGTTAATATTTCACCTAGATTGATACTGCAAAAAACCAGAGCGGGCTCACCAGGCGACATATATATACATATACCTATACATATAGATAGAGAAGGGAGCGGATCAGGGACCGGGACATCTCGCCAAGTGGGCACAAAGCAGCCAGGAATTTCATTATATGCACCCCGGGCCAAAGGACAAAGACATGTTTTTAATAGTTTCGCATGTTTGTGCAGCAGCAGGCTTTGTTTTTTTTCGGCTCCGAAGGCTCCTTTGCCCGCCTTTAGTTTCCCCTTTTTTAGCTCCGATTGTGTGCAGTATGCGCAAAGTTTGGCCAGATTTTTGCGCTTGCATTTTGAATAGTTGCATTTTTGAGCAGTTCGTGGTGCAGAGCACAAGTTGTGGGCCTGCTATGGGTTAATCGTAATGAGTGGGGGATGGGGTAGCTTGAAAAACTATCCGCAGAAAGCTCAACCAGACACAAGCAGACTTTCAAGTAGTGAACTTATTAAATTTTAGATTAACACAAACTAAATGAAATATTAAATTTCCTCTGAAATAAGCAGAGCCTTGTAAAACTTGTATTTCACATCGCTGTTCGAATAGTAGGCAATTTTCCTTTTTTATTAAGCATTTTAATACCAAGATAAGAAGCCTATTCATCTATGAGCCTTCGAGAAGGAGAACCTTATTTATGAACACAATTTCGGGGCGTAACTCAATCGAAATCGAAATCGAAACCTTGTTGCACATCTATTAAGAGCAAATGTCAAAATTAATTGGAACACGTACGCTGGGGTTCACTTGTTGGCTCCGTTTAACCCTTCCACCGATGTGCAACATTAACTTTCGTTTTCAGCTGGCTTTCCCTCGACTTTCTTTCCTTTCCTTTCCTTTCAGTTCCTTCCACTATGTTTTGTGTGCTATAAGTGGGCGTGGCCGGGCGTCTGGCGAGTCTGCGGATACTTTTGCAGCGTCATCGCATGATTACGTCGATTTCGGGGCCAAGTAATGATGTGGTGCACGAGCACACACCCCAATCCCAGTATCCCATTACACGGGATAACATTTGGACCGGCATTAGGAGAAGGAGCAGGAGCAGGAGCTGGAGCGGAATCGGTGGCAGGACCGGACACAATTATCGGAGCCAAAAGGGCTTTCAATTTCACTTGGTTAGCTGCAAGTAAACAGCTTTGCAGCTCCTCGTCCAGTTGGCTTTGGGTGGCGCTCAAGTCAAGCATGCAACCACCGCAAGCGGCACGCAAACGCATCAAATCAATGAAAGTGCCTTGGCCATCGATGCCCGCTCAGGACGCCCAACTCCGGCTCATTTGACCACGGTTTGCACTTCATTGATTCGCCCAAGAACGGAGGCAATTGAAAGCCAAATGGCACAGAGGAAAAAATATTTTTTCTTTCACATAGAATGCTTTGAAAGCGAAAGCAATACTAATTCTGTTTAATAGGGAAGTTCCTGAAAATATTGTTTAAAACGGAAGAAACAAGTTTTAGGTTTGAAACTAATACACTCGATTTATAGCAAATTAAATTTGTATCTTATTTTAAACTTATTATTCCAAATTTAAATGTGTAATTTTAAAATTATTAAACTCAGTTCACAACGTACTAAACAAAATAAAAATTACTTATATTGACAAAGGCTTTACTTTCCAAAATAAATACCAAACCTGCATTACTTCTCGCAGTGAAGCCAACAATGGTTCGATCTCCACTTAAAGCATTTTCATTCTCTTTATTTTCCACCCACTCTGCTGCATTGGGTTTATGAAAATGAAAATTGCCAAGAAAATCGAGCAACCAACAAATTCTTTAGCCCTAGCTCAGTTCATATTTCACAGTATTTTCCTTTGGAGTTTTGGGCTTCGTTATTGCACTTGTTCGAGCTTATTGCAGTACAAGCCCTCGATGTGCCCTCCCCATCAACGTTAAAAAGTGCATAGAAAAATACACTTTCGCCGGTACATCTCCCTCAGATATGCTTGCCTGATTTAATCGGAATACAAATCGATTATCAGCCGAAGGGAGGCATCAAAAATAGGTAAGAGAATAGAAAACAAAAACCCATACAGAATAATAGGGCTTCCGTTTTTTAAAAAGAAAAAAAAAATGGTATTTATATATTAAAGTCAGAGGACCCGTAATTTAATTAGTAAGAAATAGATTCAATTTATTTTAATTGCGTGTCTAATTATGTCATAATTTGTTTGTCGTGACCAAAAAGACAACAAACGTCGACCGTATTTTTTTAATGACCCCAAATAAAGCAAAGTGCATTTGAAATTAAATAGACGAATTTGATAAGAGTTTGTACTGATAGTTGTAACAACACAAGTGAGTAAATAACATAGCCTAAGTACAAATTCGTTTTCCCCAGCTGAGGCCCCAGAGCAGAGTGATGGAGCCGATGAGAATGGCCAAAGGAGCTGGACCGGTGGATCCATTGCACTCATCCGGGGACTGCTTGTCCCACGCAATCTGGGAAGCAACGCCGTTTTGCTCGGCTATTAACTGGACCAAGTCAATCATCGTCTGGTTGATCTCCCGCTGCCGAGTGAAGAGCTTGAAGAGCGGCACTGGCGAGATGCTGCCGAATCCGCAGATGAGGGCAAAGGTCTTGTAGTCCGTGTACATCAACTTGTAGGTGACTGTGACCGTATCGTAATGCAGGTCGAAGATCCCGAACTGGGTCGAGTTGTCCCAGGGAAAGTCCACGGAGTCCTCGGTGAAGTGCCACTCATTGTTAACTGTGCTGATGAAGTTCAAGTCCAGCGACAGGGTGTTGTCCTCGATCTCAGCGGGAACGGACACATTCAGGCACTCCAGCACCTGGACATTGGGCACTCGGGCAGCCTCATACCAGTAGCCAGAGAGCTAAAAGTAAATTGAGGAAATTAGTAGGCTTATCCAAACCTTAAAATTGTACATGACGAAGTATAAAGATTTAAACCATTATTCAAAAATTTCAAATATGTTTAAAAACTGAACAGTAGTCTTAGGGAAAATTGTATTGGTAAAAGAATATGAATCTACTTTAAATAAAGAATTTTCTTACTATTTTTTAACATACAATTGAATCTGTATACCGCAAAGTATTTCCATTTAAACTTTATAAATTGTGTGATTACTCACTCGCTTCAGGTTAAAGTTGAAACCGATGCTGTCGTTTCGGCAGCTAAAACCTTCGAGTGCCGCAGGCAACATGGGCATCCTCAAGCGACTCCCGGTAACACTCAATAAATTTCCGCAGATGCATAAGGCTGCCAAAATCGTAAAAACGTTTTTTTGAGCCTGCATTTCGATCCGTTCGCGGTGGCAACCTTTAGACAACTAAAGCGCTATGCCAATCCCTCAGTAGCTTTTGCTTCTCTAATGACGTGCTTATCAGCTGCGCTGACATATTAATGAAAAAATTGTAAATAAACGTTCGTGTTTTATATCTATGAGTCACTTTCGCTGATAAGGTTTAGACCGCTATCAGACTGAGTTATCTATAGATTTTTGCACGTGCACTTCCTAATACAGAGATCCTTTTCTACGAAATCGTACTTCCATAGCTTATAGTTGCATATTTTATTTTATTATTTTTTATTATTTTTTGTGTCTTTCGACACATCTGCACGCAAAGTTTTAAAAAAGAATTCTTGATCAATTAAGGTTTTTCTAGTATGTCTGTTTTATGACTCTCGTGGTATGCTTGTTCGGTTTAGGATCTGTATACAAAATTATTTAGTCTTCAGATATAGTCTTTATGTCAGTTTGGAAAGGTTAATTTAAAGCTATTGATTTATGAAAGGTAGTAGAAACCAAACTGAGAAAACACAGTATAAAGTTACCCTCCGAAGTTCTTCCACTCTTTGCTCTTCTAATGTGCGCCGATTTATCATTAAACACACGGCAGTGAATAAGAAAAAAAAAATATAACCTCTTAAGGTAATAAATATGATAAATATAAATAAATATAATAAATATATATCAATAATTGTTGATATGAAATCCATCGTAAATCGTAAAATATCTGTCACCACACCCATAGCTTTAAAAATAAGTCCCCCTTGTCTGGAATGTAAAATTTGATTATTAGTTTGGTGATACGAAGATACACGGAGAATAATCGCTTGGTCAAGTCAACAATAGAATTTTTAGTTTTATGCCTTACAAACAGTTTTCCAATTAGAAACATAAGCGGAATAGTTATATGATGAAAAGCTCAACAAAATCCCATCCTTTGAACAAATCATATTTCTATCGATATTATGAACTAACCAATCCATTTTTGCTCCATTGAAGAGAAGTCTAAAGTTTGTCGAACAATAAGAAAAAGTGCTTGTAAAAATCACATGAAATTCGATTGTCGCTTAAAGTGAAATTGCACAATGTTTGCGATGAAATGTTGTCGCAGTAAAATATCGCTGCAGCCCCTTTCCTTTCAGATTTGCAGTTGCACTTCTCCTGCACAGCACACTGCAGCTCGTCCTGATTTCCAGATTCAGGAGGTACTGCTGAACTGACGAAGATAAAAACGCAATCAAACAACAACAAAAAAAGGCTAAAATGGCAGCGGCAACTGTTTGTATTTGTACTGGCACAAAGTGCAAGTGTGAGCAAATGCACTCGAGCACGCACATCCAAGGAATCCAACATTATAAGGAGTTATGGAAGCTTCCAATACCCTTGGATAACAAATTAATATAAAAATTAGACCGTTGATTTTATTTGTATTTAATTAGGCTTCCGTTTTCAGTTTTGCTGAAAATCAAATAATCACATCGTGTAAACTCTATAACATATATGTCTCTATAATTATGTTTGTTTGTATAACATCCTTTGCTTTTGTCAGCTATGAAAAACTTCTTAATCTTAATCACTAATATCATCGTATGGTAGATAAGCCTAGAGCCATAAAACAGGTGTGGTTCATTGAAGTTAATATTATGCGGAGAGCGTTCGATGTCTAACTACCGATAGTCTGATAAAATATTTGCGTACCCTTTTACAGGGCTTAATTTGTGAACTGGATTAATGTGTGCGAAGATTGTATTGTTAACAGAACATATTTACGAATGAAATAAGAAAGCAATTACAATTCGTTTCTTAATTTTGTTCATTTTGTAATGCCAGACTACAATTTTATTATTACACAAATCTAATCTTCAGAGATAACGTTATCTTTAAGGGGTAATGCGAGGCAGTCGATGCTCCTCCGATAAGTTTACATTATCGCGTACTATCTCGATGCGATACTACCGATACTCTACTGGGCACCAGCAAATGGATAACTCTACAGCGACTCCCATCGAATGATCAGCAGCACTGCCAAGTTAAATGTGTTAAAGAGTTGTCATTGTGTTGTTTGCAGAGTTGTCGTTCGTGTGTCGGACCTCGTGTGTGTCCTTGTGTCTGTGTGGGCTGGCTTTTGTAACTGTAAAGATATTGCAGTTGCAACGTGTTGAAGTGGCGCCTCGGTAAAATTGTGTCAAACTGTGATTGCATTTTTGTGACTGACATTCAATTGCTGTGGTGTTTGGTTTTGGCAACTCACCACTCTCACCGTGTCCTTGTAGTTCTTGTATCCCCCGTTGAACTGGTGTATACCCGCTTCCTGGGCCATGTGGGCGTGGTGCGATTTAGGCGCACTATTGTTTTAAGTTGTTTTCCAGTAATGGAGATACAGCTCATAACTCCTGGCTAATTATCGGAGATCGGGGGGAGCTCCTGGCTGGCAATCCCAGTGACAATCCAGCCACCCCAGATTGGCCAGAAATCCCAGTAAAGACCTAAGAGTCGCGCAATTAACTGAGCGACTCTCTAAAAAACTCCCCAATAAGGGAAACCCCTTACCCGCCCAGGAAAAACAAAACACACCCAACCCCAACCCATCCCCTCGGTGCACCTTGCCCGGATACTTGGGCTATGATTATTACTTATGATAATTCAACTTGACGGCGCAAAAGGAACTTGACACCACCACCGAAAAGGAAAGCAAAATGCCGTCAAGACAACACCAAACGCCGGAGGTTGGGAAAACAACCCCTGAGGGGTGGAAATGTGGGCAAGTGGGTTTTATGTTCCGACGACTGCAATCGAGACTTCCGCTCCTTTGTGGCGGCGATTCCCAGGGCGAACATGAAAAACTCCAACTAAAATGAAACTGTTGCGTATTTTGCATTCGGTCCAGGACGCGTCGTCCTCATCCTTTATTGTTTTCCGTTTTCAGCCGCTGTCTTTTTCTGGTTTCGGGGGTGCAAGTGCGTCGCATTTGCACCTTCAATTAATATACTGGCAGTCTGGGCCCGACTTCAACCCTCGTCCCTCGTCCCCCTGACTTTTGCTCTTTTTGTGATTTATGAGGGTGCGCTGGCAAAACAAAATTAAGCCAGCGGACGAACGACATTTGGCGTCAGCATCTTAGCCACTTCTGACTACCCCCCTTCCCAGGGACTGCCACAGAGGTTTGAACTTTTAATTAAAAGTCACTTTTGATTTATAATTTGCAAGCGTTTTCAAGCTTTGCATAAACAAAGGGCGAGTGCTTGTTGTCCAGAGTTTACAGCCATCAATGTGAAGGTGTGACCTAGCAGAGTTGTCAGCCGTCTCAATGGCAAGGAGATACGATCAGTAGAATTACACCATAAAAATAAATATAATTGGTTTAAAAACCAAAAAGAATTTAATGGCAAACAGCTTTATTCTTAACTTGAATTTGTTTTAAGTCGAGCTCGTTATATTATAAAATGCAAATGAATTCAATTCCATAGCTGAAAGCCGTGTTATGAAACTCGAGCTCTTTTAGAGGCAGAAGGTGTTTCGAGATGTGGACGTTTGACTGTATCTTCACAATCGGATTGGAATCTAATAGCAACAGACAGTCTGTGAGTCGATTCTATTTCTGTTTATAAGCAGTATCAAAAGGAAACTCTGCCGAGTCGGCACTCCACGCCAATAAATTCCGGGGGAGTTCTTGGCACAATGGATGCGTAAAAAAGGAAATCCACCACGCATATTGGTAACCCTGACAATCAAACGTTTGTTGCCATATTGTCGCAGACGCACGTGACGCCCAGAAGGAGATATATAATATATGACTGGAGGGCCGGAGAGGGGTGATGCCTAGTGACGCGTGTCCTGTGCATAATCGGGATTTGCATGCATCAACTGGAACGGTAGCGGCACGATGGCCCTAGCAAATTCATCATCAAAAGGAACCGGACAAGAACTGCCTGGTCCATCTTCTAGAAAACACACGGAAAAAAATACAAAGTCCCTTATCATGTTTTATATGTATTATTTCACATAAATCCTATTTTATTAAAAACTAAACAAACTTGGATTATTTTGATCATTTTACAGAACCAAAATTGACCTTAGAGATTGGGTCATATATCGTATTTTCCCCTGTGTATCTTATTTTCGAAAAGTCGGTAATCACTGGTAGCAACCACCTTTCTGATGGATGCGATGCAGGTCCTTTGATGCGTGAACTGTTTGCGGCAAATAAAGTTGGGACAGGGGTGGGAAGGACGTCTCATCCTCCAACGATAACCGGCAACCAACCTTGACAACCGAAAGTTGCATGCGCTGCACATTGCCCCTAAGCAAACCCGAACGCGTGTCCTTCTAATAAGCCTAATGCATGGGAAAGTGGAAGGAGGCGGAGGTCACACCAGAGAGCTGACAATATTGGTAATATTTTAAAGTGGGCCCGAGCACACGACCCAGACGACGCTTATTGTCACAAAGAGACCTTTAATTAAATTCATATTTGGACACACAACATTGCTGATTAATGGTCGAGGGGGTGTCATGGGCGACAGGGGGGTGATCGGGGGACAGAGCGCATGTCGTCAGCCATTGAAAAACAATCATGGGAGTCATAATTGTTTATACTGCCTTGCATTAATCTAATTGGATTGCCATGGGAGTCTTTGCGGCAGTCGAACTGAGGGATTTCAATTTCAATCTAATAAACTTAAATTTTGCTATAAAATTTCTTTAAAAAATATTGAAATTTAAGGCACTAAAAATGCCAAAAATGATATTAAATAAAAGTTGTGAAAGATTTTATTAATGCTCATTGTGAGCATTCCTTGCACATCCCTTCTTGCCAAATGTGCAGAATATAAGATTCTGGTGATATATTTTGGAAATGGATTGGGGCCACCCTTGCCAATCTTCTCTTCTGCCCACCAAGATTTTAAAATAATATAATTTGCAGTCACAACTCGGGTTTCCCTGGGAATTGCATCTGGTGATCTGCGATTGACCCGCTCGCAAGACAGGATTTTCGGAGCAGCTATTTGAATGGGTATCCCTGGCCCGCACTGAAAGCATCTGCGGCATGTGTTGTTCA